AAAGTCCTGGAAAATGTATGTTTGAATGTATTGTTCTACTTGTAGCAGAACTTTAAGTTAATCATTTATTATATCATAGAAATCTCTCCCTCCACTGTTCGAAAGAGATTTATACAGATATTAGTGTCTTTAGTTTGCAGAAGGGTTTACAATCTGTCTTTCTCTTCATAGTCTACTTTTAGCAAATACGACTGCCTTCAGCAAATCTCTATTGCCAAAGGGTTACTTCTTTAACTCTTAGAACGAAGTTTGTAGAGATTTATTTGGCAATACTTTTTCTGGTGATTTTAAAAGATAAATTAGAATCGCAAAGTAAATACTAACAAGTCACGACTCCTAAAAGGTAAAATAAAGTTCCTCTGTAATTGCCACAAAATACTCGTGTTTCCAGGAAGTGTACTGGGCAGCCTGCCGTAATACCGATGTCACGTCAGCTATTATCCATTCCAGAACGATATACCCTAGTGGCATTAATGTATTAGGTATCTTCATTTTTCTTGTATTGTAATTTTGAGGTATCTCAAACTTATGTTAAAGCTGCCATGCATTGTATTACTAAATTGTAACTATCAAATAGATAATATATTTAATACAGCCAATAAATAATACAAATGTATTCAAATTTGACTACCGGGTTGCGTGTTTTTGTGGATTTTGACTTTATTCAGTCATTTGTACAGCCTGTAATTTAAGCTGAAGAAACATGTTTAGCGTGGTTACTGAGGATCACGAAGAACTGTCTTTAAAGCAATCATTCTGGATGAAAAGTTGTTTGGAGTGCACAACTGAAACCTGTCCGGTTGCCTGCATTTCATCTGTGGGTGAGGAAGGTGCGCCAGGCAGGTGTCCCAGAGGGTTTTGGTGACTTGAAAATCAGGGAAAGATGCACACCCTTACCCCTTACCACCTGTGCCCCCAGTCTGCTGCACCTCTGGGGAAGAAAACCAGCTGCTATTTCTCAAACCATTACTTTTTTTTTTTTTCTCTTTACATTGGATGAGGAAGGAAGACACCAGGTGCCAGCCAGGCAGGCATTTCCATGCAGAGCAGGAACATGCAGGTTTGCTTCTTCCTTCCAACTATTTTTGTCCAAACTGCAGAGGATTTATCACTGCTCAGCTTTCATTTCGTCTCATGCCATGAAGGGTGCACAGACACCTGCTCCTTGAAGAATGGCTTTATCCTGCCTTCAGGACTCGGTGCAGCAGTGCTTGCTGAGTGCAGAACCTGGCCTTTCCTTGCCCATCTTTCCTGCGTGGTCCTTCATTGCCAGTTCTGCTGGTGTGTGGGCATGGCCTCTGCTCCAGAAACAATTTCTGATGAGGCTCTGCAAGGTAGGTTTTTAGCACGATGCTGTCCTCTGGTTTCTAAGAGATGTCTGGGCACCAAACTGCCGTTTCTTGAGCCCTTTTTTGGGAGGTCAGGCAGGGCTTGGGACAGCCCCTGGTGATCTGGGCTCTGCGTTTGCCTGCTTTACAAACAAGGGAGAAGGCGAATGTCTTCTATCCGCTGCTTCCTGCCCTTGCAGCCTTCCAAATCTCCTAAAATATTACAAACATTTCTCAGAAAATGTGCGGGGAGAAGCCAAAAGGATAGCCTTATACATGTTGCAGTCATGCAGCACAATTTCTGAGGACGTCAGCTGGAGCTGTTTGGCTTCTTGTGGCTGCTTCTCGTGCTGCCCACCATGCTGTGATCCATCTTCCTCTGACTCCACACCGACTGCTAATGATGTGCACAAAATGCACCCTTTGCACTGCTTTTCTCCTTAACCTGTGAGAAGGTGCCTGTGCTTACCAGGTGGGTTCAAACTCTTCTTTGATAGGGGAAATTTAATCGCCCCTTTTGGGCCAGTTCCACAACTTGCTGTGGTTACTCAGGGCCCTTCCCACTTGAGCTCCGCCTCAGCAGATGCCCCAGAGTGAGAAATTACTGACTGCTGTGATGAGCTTGTTGAGTCAGGATGGGAAAGCCTTTATTTGAGCACAACGAGACAATCTGACATTTAGCCCTAATTTACTTTCCACTTCAGAAGATCAGAGATAACGAGCTGGAAGCACCAGTGCGGGGGAGGCAAGGGGAAATGGGGCCAGTGCTAGAGAAAACAAGGGAAGACTCCAGGAAGCTGGAGGTTATCTGCTTGTGGCAGGAGAGCTGCGATGCTCAGCGTCAGAGACGCTGCAGTCGGTGCTTGGTTTGACAGCAGGATGTGTCCCGCCACGCTCCTCGGAAATTCCTCCGTGGCTCAGGAACTTGGCTGCTGGATGAAGCAAGCGGGGTACCCGGTACAAAATAAGCCTCTTCTCTTCCCTCCTCCTTGGACTTCTGCTCTTTGCAGTTTTTCTTGTCTGAAGAACTGTTCAAAAGCCAGCATATTGCGGAGCCAAATACTGTGGGATTTGAGCTTAAAAGGTCAGTGCTGAACACAGTCACTGCATTATGTTGACAGAGCTTTGGTTTTAATGTTAGCAGAATTTCTGCTGCCATTTCCAAGAGGCAGAAGCACGGGCAGTTGTTTTTTTCCAAGACATTTAGGCACCCCAATACGTAAAAAAATAAGAAATAAAAAAAGCTGTGTGCTAAGGCTGTGCTTTGCTGCACCTTAAACACCTCTAGAAAACCTGTTGAAAAATCCCCACCACCTGATTCTGCTGGTGGGGGTTTAAACAGCACGCCCTGGGCTGAACAATGGGCGGCTGTCGGCCCCATTTATTCGAGCAGATCGCTCCCAGCTGGGGGACAGTCACCTCGGATGAATGTCCCCAGCTCCGCGGTGACAGACGGAGGAGCCAGCGCTCGGCCTGGCCACGCCGTGACCCAGTTTCCTGTTTTGTCATGCTGAAAGAAACCTCAGTGTCTGGGCAGAGATGAACGGTGACTGCTCTTTTATTCGGCCAGCATGTGGAGCGCCCACAGCGAGCTGAACACAGGCATTCATAGCAGCGCCGGGGCCCGCGTGCCCCAGAGGACTGGTGGTGAGGAGGAAGCTTTCGTGGCCAAGCAGCCCCAGCCCAGCTCAGCAGCAGATCTGTTGCAGGCAGTGGCTGCTCGGCTGCCCACACAGAAGGCATTTGTGACCTCGGGGACAAATGTCTCCCTTGAGGAATCTGGCTCTCTGCATCTTCTCCTGGCCACAGCTTTCCATGCTGTGAGTGGCCACAGCTCCCGATCGCGCTGCTCGGCCTGAAAAGTCGCCTCTTGTAGCAGGGCTGGCTGGGAAGCGCGGTGACGGCCGGGAGGAGAGCCCCTTGGGTCCAGAAGGGCCTCGGGCTGCTCTCTGAGGTAAACCCACGGGCAATATGAAGTACCTTGCTTTCCTAACGCACTGGGAATAAATGGCAGGGCCAGCGGATGGCCTGATGATGCCGAGTTTTAACCTAACCCACAGCCTGCATCTTGTCTGTGGTGGAAAAGCTCCCCTCCCCCTCTTTCCTAAAACGAGGGGAAAAAGTGGGTTTTGTTTGTTGTCTAAGGTCAGTGTCTGGAATTCATCCTTCGTTCCCTCCTAGCAGGATGTTTTTGTGTAATACACGATGACTCATGAAAGTCAAATGACTTGGACTACAATGCTACAGCACTTCCAGCCAAAGCACCGCCGCAGCAGCAGCATTCTGGCCGTTTGCACGTCCAGCACTGGCGCTGGCACGTGCGAGATGCAGGCTTACAGCTCCTCGAACCGCCACGGCTGCTGCAGGGCTGCCTCTGCCCTCCTGAGAGCAAAGGGCCCCATGCCAGCCCCAGCCCCTCTGCAGCAAACCCATAAGGAGCCTGTCCCACTCGCCCAGGGCCACGTCACGCTGTGAAGCACCCGCACCCACCGCCACGGCCGCAGCCTGAAACAGCTCGGGGCTGACAGGCGGCTGCTTGGGCTGCAGCCAGGCTCTTTCCGAAGGGCCCTGTGCCAAAGCCCAGGCTGTGTCCAAGCGGCCGTGCAGGGCGTTGTGCTTTTGGGGTCCCCGGGAGGCCATGCTGGCGAGCTGCTCCCCACACCCAGCGCACGGCCGCAGCTCGGCCCCTCGCCGGTGCCAGCACAGGGACAGCCGCCCTGCCGAGCCCAGTGCAGCCCTCGGGATCCCTCATCAGCCACCGGCTGCCATTTCATTAAATTCTGAGGGTTTGGACGTTGCGTTTGCATCCATGTAGGTTGAGTTCACTGCTTCCAGGTGTTCGATGTCACCCTCCGTGTGGGTGAGAAGCAGAGCAGGAGTCCCTGCTGCTGGAGCGTTTCAGCGTGCGCTAGGCGTGAACCAAGCGAGCAGCTGGTTGCTTCTCCGTGCTCTGACGGGAGGCTGGGCTCCCTTCCCCGTTACATCAGTTGGCCTGACGCGGGTGCCGCTCCTTCCCCAGACCTCGCTTCATTTGGATCGTGGCACCCAGTGACAACGCTGCTGCGAGCTCTGCTATGCTGCTAATCCCCGGGCTGGCCGAAATCACATGAAACCAATTTTTTTGTTGTTGTTGTTTTCCCTTAGAAAGCGAGCGAGGAACTTCTGACGAGATTTGCGTGGAATTTGCACAAAGATCCTCGGGAGCTTCTAAGCTATGAAGACAAGCTGTGCGGGCCCTGCTGCCAGCACGCGGGGCTCTCTTTGGGTGCTGGGGCTGGGGATGCGGAACTTTAACAACAATGCTTTGAGGAGTGGTGAGGGAGGCGAGGGCAGAGGGGGGGCATTAATGAAGTGTAGGGGGGGCAATTCATGCTTTGGTGTGTTACTGCGTTGTCACGAGTATCTTTATTTAAAAGCCTAAAGAAACAATAAATAAATAAATAAATAAATAAATAAATAAATAAATAAATATTTGGGCTGGGTGGTGGCGAGCGCCAAGCTCATGCTTTGGTGTGTTACTGCGTTGTCACGTGTATCTTTATTTAAAAACCTAAAGAAACAATAAATAAATAAATAAATAAAATAAATTAATAAATTAAATAAATAAATAAATAAAATAAATAAATAAAATAAATAAATAAATGAGAAATTTGGGCTGGGTGGTGGTGAGCGCCAAGGCCCCTCCCAGCCAGGCCGCGTTTCCATGGCAACTCCCGCCGCCCGGATCACGTGACCGGAAGCGGGCGGTGAAGAAGGCGGAAGCGATGGAGCCGGCCAAGATGGCGTCTCCCAAGAGCGCCCCCAAAGACGCGCAGGTACCGCGGGGCCGCGCCGGGCCGGGCCGGGCTCAGGGCGGGGGGGTGCGGGCGGAGCTGAGCCCGAGCCCGAGCCCTGGCTGTGTCCCGCAGGTGATGGCGCAGATCCTGAAGGACATGGGCATCACGGAGTACGAGCCGCGCGTCATCAACCAGATGCTGGAGTTCGCCTACCGTGAGCGGCGGGGCCGGGCCGGGGGCGCTGAGGGGGCTGAGGGGGGCCGGGGGGGGCTGAGGGGTCTGAAATTAACCTTTTCAAAATGTACTCTTCATTTTGTACTCGATTTATTTTGATTAAAAGTCAAAGGTCTCAAAAATCAAAAGTCAAAAGGGATCAAAAGTCACAAGTCTGAGGGGGCCGGGGGGGGGCTGAGGGGGCCGGGGGGCGGCAGCGAGCGGCCGTGTGTGCCCGCAGGGTACGTGACCACCATCCTGGAGGACGCCAAGGTGTACTCGAGCCACGCCAAGAAGCCGAGCGTGGACGCGGAGGACGTGCGGCTGGCCATCCAGTGCCGCACCGACCAGTCCTTCACCTCGCCGCCGCCCCGCGATGTGAGTGCTGCGGGCGGGCAGGGCGCGGGGCCCGGCGGGCGGCCTGGGGCTCACCGCCCCGCCCGCAGTTCCTCCTAGACATCGCCAGGCAGAAGAACCAGACGCCGCTGCCGCTGATAAAGCCGTACTCCGGGCCCAGGCTGCCGCCTGACAGGTACTGCCTGACGGCGCCCAACTACAGGCTCAAGTCCCTGCAGAAGAAGGTGAGGGGCCGGCAGGGCGGCGTGCACTCAATGCACACACAGTGCGTCGGGAGAGATGCTGGGCTTGGGGTTTTCACACCTCAGAAGGATGGGTGGGTGGAAATAGCACTTAGTTTTAAGTTAGTGGGCTTCGTCTAGAGGGATTTGCAAATATTCTTACTGCTAGTTAACTTCAGCTTATAAAAAGCGCATCTGTGAGTTTGCTAAGGCTTAAAGCAGCATTTTCAAGGCATACATCAGCTTGGAAAAGGCAAAAGTAAGGTAAGGCATTAGTATAGAGCCCCGAGCCCACAAGCTTTCCAGCTCACATCCACAGTGTTCACACCACAAAGACTTGGAGAACTTTGTGTCCAAATACAGATTGTGATCCAACAAATTATTGCTGTAAAATAAGCTGTCTGTGGTCTCTGGGGAGGAACCACCTCTGACTGTCATGTTAAGAACTGTTACTTTCTAATGTGATGTTAAACCGAATGTCCTGTTTTCACAGGTCTCTTCCTCAGCAGGAAGGATAACAGTCCCTCGCCTGAGCGTCGGTGCTGTGAGCAGCAGGCCCAGCACCCCTACTTTAGGTAAGAAACAGATCCCTGGGGCCTTCTTATGTTGATTTTATGAAGGAAAAAATCTTGGGGGATGTTTTTAAAGCCTGCTTCGAGCACTTATAGTGTTGGGTGCCACCTGAACTTGGTGGCATTCGGCCCCTTAGAAGTGTAAGTTACACTTGGAAGTGTAAGTGTGTTTTCTTATATTTTCATTGGACCCTTTTAAATTTTAGGTACACCCTCGGCACAAACAGTGTCTGTTTCAACAAAAGTCGGCACCCCCGTGTCGCTGACTGGTCAGAGGTTCACGGTGCAGATCCCGTCTTCTCAGACAACAGTCAAAGCAGGTAAAGTGCCCGCTGTAAAACAGACACTGCCTTCTGGGAAGTGGCTCCTTTTTGTGTTAGTTTTAGCAGAATATTTAAGAGAGGGGAAGCTTGGTTTCAGTGTGGGAAAATCATTTTTCAAGCTGTTTATTTTTTTTTTTTTTCTTCACAGCCACACCAACTACACCGACAGTTCAGAATGTCCTAATTAATCCTTCATTAATTGGACCAAAGAACATTCTTATTACTACAAACATGGTATCATCGCAGAATACAGCCAGTGAAACAAATACCTTGAAGAGGAAGCATGAAGATGATGACGACTACGATAACTTGTGAAGAGTCTGTCCCCTCCCCTCCTGTTCGTCAGTGATTCATATTGAGTCTGATAGGGTTTATTTCTGAGTGGTGTTGTAAGCTGTATGATAGCTTGTAAATAATCGGGTAGCATGCAGTGGGGTGTAGTAGGAGAGAGAGAGATCATCATGCTGTGGAAAAGCAAAAAAATAAGTAGTCTTTTTTTCTGGTCTTTAGTGGCTTTTGAACCTCAACAGCGGGGATGAGCACTGGTCGCTGTTACAGGCGTGCAGTCCTCACCTCTCTGTTGTTGCCTTACTTCAAAGAGAAGAGTCTGTGTTTCTGAAGACTGGCAAGGCAGCTGCTTGTAGTACTGCTCTGTGCCAAAAAACCTTTAGGAAACACTAGGTAGCAGAGAATGTGAAATAGAGGCTAAATTTCAAATTAAATTAACAAAAAAAAAAGAGTCCTGTGCAAGGAGGAAAGTATCCAGGGCTACTTTTATTTTTTTCTTCCCTGAAACACATTTACAGCTTCTGGCTTTTAGTTGTATGCATTATTGTCCATGTGCAGCTCTGGATGCTCTCTTAACACCAGAAATACAGATGCGAGGTGAGGAGGATTTGTATGAATACTTAACCTGATCACCTGTATCATTACTACATGAAGGCTGTTGGCCTTAACACCTACTAACATACCCACAACTCCAACCGAAGTTAGTGGAAGAGGTAAGAGCCCACCCAGCTTGTTTTTTTATTTATTTCTGTTGAGTTTTCTCTCAGTCAGATGTCATTTGGTTAAGCTTCCATTTTTACATGTGAACTGAGTGAACTCACTGTCAGCATGGCACAAAGGGGGATCTGGTGAAGGGTAAATTGTTCCGATCTTGACTTCAGGTGTCTGATTTGGTGCTTCAGGTACTTCAAAGTGCTGCTGGTGTGTTGTAAGATCCCGGGTATGCCGTGCTAAACAATAAATGAAGAAGTGTTTTTATTTATATATTAAATAATAAAGTGGTGTGCTTTTGTAATGATGTCTCTTGGTGACTGCTTTAATTTGTAATGCCTGACAGGTCTTGGGCTTGCAGAGGTGCTGTGAGAATTCTGATTCGATTGCAAACGCAAAACCAGTTTTCCTAATAAGACCTTTAAAGGGTCACAAGGAATGGAATGTACTGGTCTTTAAAGGGATACAAAAAAAGAATGCTACCTCCTTGCAACACCACTTTTTCATGAGTGAATGACAACCCCACCACCACTTACCCCCAGTTAACTCCTTACAAGTTTTGAGGCTGCTGAATGTATTCTTCATAATTATGGCATCATTTTTCAGTCATTTTTGCTTGAAGAAGTGCTGAATGAAGCTTTCTCTTCCCTGTGCAAAAAGGAAGAGTAGATGGGTGAGTTTTCAATGTGAGACTTTACAGAAGGATTGGAGAAAAAAGCGTTTCAGACTCCTACCCCAAATGAGATGTGCATGCACATTTGTGTTACACGCACGAGAGGGAATATTTACTTATCCAGGCACATAAGCACATTCTCAGGCACCTTTTAAATCTAGTAGAAATCTGTATGTATATACACATTGCTGTATTATACACACACTCATGCAGACATCTCACACGTACATGATCTGTGTACATAATCTGCATCTCACACCATTTTTATAAAGCTATACAACATAATGTATTAAATTATGCATTATACACAGCTCATACTCCTTCACAGACACTATTCTTATAAAATATTTTATGTATATGTAGACATAATTATATCTTACACACACCTTTTTAATATAATTCATTTATGTTTTTATTTACACTTATTTTACCCATCTACAAAAAGTGAACATCTGTAGCTTTATTTCACACACACTCACTAATGCAGTCCCCGTTTATAGGCATACATTTGTACTCTACACACACACCCAGTCTCAGACACCCCTTCGTCTTTATATCAGTACAGAATAATATATAAGACACTACCCAATACTTCATTGTGTTATGAATTACATATTGTGCATATTCTATAGCTATTGTGTAATACATATAAAAGTAATATAAAGTATTTATATTAAAAAACACTCACATGGTCGTCTTCACATGCATACATGAGTATTTTTATGCTCTGCAGTCTCATACACTATTTTCCATACCTACAATATAATGTATAACACATAATGTATTAGCTATACATATAAATACACAATTGATGTACATAATTATAGATGTATACTCAGCCATATCCACAACTGTCTCAGTCTTGCATGTCTTGTACTACATGCAGATATAAAATTAGATTCTCTGAGTATGAAGCACCTCTCACGAAGCTTTTATATACATATGTTTAGACTCATGCTTTCTTCACACACACTTTTATCATCTGTCATATGCGTATTTCTATACCTACATGTAGTTTTACTCTGATGCTTAATATATGTAACATACAGATACATAACCTGCATATTATGCATGTTATAAATATATACATTAATTTGATAAAAAACATATTCTCAGACACCTACTCACATACGTGTGTAGATTCTCACTACAGCGACATCTTTTTTATATATTTATAACGTGATAGACTATAGAATATAGAGCCCTAATCACTCTCAGACACCCATTCATATACGTGAAGCACTCTAAAACATACATATAAATAAAATTCTATTATCCTACATATACATACAGCTACCTTTTTGATATACTTAGATGCATTCATATATATGTGTATGGTTTTATACTCTTACACCTTGCTCTCACTGCCCTCACACCTATGCAGACACCCTTTTATATTATATAGAGAGTATATATTCACAATCTATGTAACATATAGAATATATGCTACAAGACGATTTGATATACAGAACTATATAACATATATATAATATATATATTATTCTGTTAAATGTTATAACATATATAACAGAATATATATAATATATAATAATATATAACATATATAACAATAATATATAACATTTTAATATTTTATACAGTATATTATATGTATACTATATATCATATGGAATACTAATGTGATGTGTAATGTTATATTAATATTTATAGTAACGTTCATACGTGTACACAGTCTCTCACAGACACCTATGCTTTTATATGCAGATATAAATGTATAATATAATAGTTAAAATAATAATATAATGTATATTATAAGCATAAATGTATATTATTTCCACCCCCAGCTGCATACACACACACACACACACAGCAGGGCTGCACTGGGGTGCCCAGGGAACACAGTTTAGGAGAGTCCCCACAGAGCTGCAGGGGCTGGAGCAGGAGAGGGACTTCAGGCACCCCCCAGACCCTCTGCACACACAGCCCACAAGCACACGGGTGGAGCAGTGCACCTGACAGGCAGGACAAGTCTCCTGAAGCCACAGGCACTTGGTGCGATGTTTCACCTGCACGGATTTGCTTCCTTTGTCCCGTCTTTGTTCCAGCTCTGAGGCAGTCGTGAGTCACTCGACATCCCTGCATCAAGGATGGGAAGGAGGCTTGTGGGGTGAGATGAGCACCTTTCCCCTCTCGCAAGGACTCACAACTTACCAGCTTGTTTAAATCACTTTGAAACGAGCATCTTCAACGATCCAGGACTTTTTACCTGGAAAGGAAAGAGTCTAGCAGAGATGTCACCTAACAGCTCTCCGGTGAGCAGGCCACGTGTGGGCATTTTCACAGACAGCACATGCCTACGGCCCCAACCCAAGCAATTTGGACACCAGGAACACTTGCAGGGCCTGCATCACCCCGCTTGTGCTGCAAACACACAAGGGCCTGCACAGAGCCCAGCTCTGCTCTGACATCAGACATAGCAATGAGAGAGGCACGGTGCTCACTCACCGTGATACTGACCTCATTTAGGAGAAACCTTCCTCTTCTCCTTTGATGGTTATTAAAGGCATGTCTGAACAGCTCCTGGGCTGAGAAGCCTGCTCAGCTGCACCTGACCAGAAGCCACCTACCATGGCTAATACAGCACCAAGCCCCAAAAATAAACCTAAAGCACACATAAAGCTCAAGGGAGGTACAGTGCTAATGCACCACTCATCCACAAGACACAGGGTAGAGCTCAGTTGTTACCATTACCAGTGGTAATTCTCTCCAATATTACCAATTCTCTCCAATGCTTCCACTGGAGAAAAAGAAATGAGCACAGGAAAAGACAAAGAGTTTCACTTTTCTTCATGCTGTAAAGGAAAAGAAAGCAGCATTACACAAATCAGGCTGCCTGCTTTTTAAGATATAACAGAAAAATTCTAAAGCTGAACACAGCAACCAACAAAACACTTCTGAGACCCATTTTAATAAGAGACACTAATCACAGAGATCCTGGAGTGGATACCAAGAACCACACAGGCAATAAAGAAAGACAGGGTCATTTTTTTCCAAAGTATTTCCTTTATTAAAGCTAATAAAACAAATTAAAATTACTAAATCATTCACATAGGGCTAGCAAGTTTCTAATTTCATTGAACAAGAATAGACCAGTGCCCTAAACGGTACAAGAACACTGGCATTTCATATCTGCTAACTAGTTTAAGACTACAGACAGTGTCTCCTCAGAATCAAGCACCAGTGGATCCCACATGGCAGTTTAGAACAGTTCCTCATACTGTATTGGAAGAGACAGAGCCAAGATTTCCAGTGCAAATGCAAAGTTCTTTCAAGATCATGTATCACCTGTACCCAACGCATTCACAGCTCAGGGTGAGGAAGGCAGCTGTAATGAACAACCTGGATAAATCATCTGCACTCACTCCAGAAATTCCAAAGAGGGAAGCCTCACCATCATCCTCGTAGAAGACATCTGGCCAAGCCCCACACATACAAATATTTACAAAGAATTGACACAATCTAGCAAGAACTAGTGCTCCACTCCCTTGGTGCTGCCTGCAGCTGTCATGCCAGACAATGGACAAGTCTACGCTGCAGCAAGAGTTCCCAACACTATTTTTCCTTTTAAAAAATCCCCCTCATCTGTGGCGTAAAGAAGTGCAGCATGACCCAGTTGTCAGTCATGGCTCAGTCAGCTTCCTCTTTGATAGGGGTACAACCTGAGAAAAAGCTGGTGTTGCTAATTAGCATTCTCTTCTTTTTCTTCACAAACGGCAGCTGGTTCTCTTGGGACTCCTCATCCATATCGAGCACAGGAGCAGCAGTGCTGGGCTTCTTCAAGAACATTTCTTGGTCTGTGATGTCTTTCAGGACCTATCAGGAAAGTGAGGAAGACAATTTGGCAGTTGGTCACCACCCTGAAGCCAACCAGCTTGTACTGGAGCATGGAGACAGCGCATACAGAAGTTGTCTTGCCAGGCTCAAGAATTGCTACATTTCTTGACTCGTGTCAAAATTCTGAAGGCCTGTCATGGTCTTCATGGGCTGGGCAGGGCGAGACAGCATAGAAATAGCAGTGCAGAGGGTACGTATTTGAGGGAAGTCATTCAGTTTACCTGAGGCAAAACTACATCTGCCAAGTCAGGCTACACACTGGCATAAGACCAGCTTGGATGTAGATATCATTTTATCCTAGTTTCTCAATTCTCAGTCTCTTTTCACTGCTGGGAGGTGCAGCAGGACTGTACGGCAATACAAGAGTCAATATGGGTGAAGTCAGCATATTGGCTCCAATTCCTTTCACAGAAAGCCTACGTGGCAGTTTTAGGATGAAAACTTAAGAAGTCAGCAGACTCAAAACTGAAATACAAGCTGACTTAACAGCTGTATTCTTTTCAGAGTTTTCTAGCACAGTTTCTTTTCTTGGTTAACCACCACCCTTTAGATCCAATCACTAAACATACCGAGTGGTTCTGAATGCGTACGTACCATGGTGTTTTGTTTGTTTTTAATAATAATAATAATAAAAAAAAAAAAGCTTTAGCAAGTACCTTTGCAGTTGGGGTGATACACACAGGCTGAAAGAAGGTCTCTCCTGGAGTCACTTCAGTAGGGTCTTCTAGTTTGAAGGAACCTTCAGAGTCCCTTGTTTGGTCCTCACACACCGTGGC